TACTAGAAAGGTACACAGGCACAATCATTGATGTAAGGTCACTACGTTCATCGCCTTGTACTTTGTGCGTTACAGCTTGAGGATTTGAGGTTGATGCGGTTTGAGCTTCCTTCGGTTGGCTTGATGCCAAGTTGGCCTTGTTCGAATCTCTTTGGTCCTCATGAAGGCAGCTTGGATGCCTTTTACTGCACTTCTTGCAGACCAGTCTGCTTTGGCAATATTTAGACATATGGTCTTTTTCAAGACAGCCATAGCAAAGTCTTTCATTTTTGATGAAATCCTTTCTCTGGGACATGTCTTTCCGAAGGAATTCCCGACAGTCATTCAGGGAATGATTTTGTCTCTTGCACAACAGACATTGCTTCTGTGAAGTTGAGCCAGACGTAGAGAGGGTTACCCGTTTTGAGACTGCGGTTTCCTGTTTTCTCTCTCTAGTCTTGCCAACATCCACAGTGAGCAGAGGATCATTAGCAATGTCTGCTTCGTTCCCAATGAAAGAAACGAAGTCAGCAAACCTAGGATAACAAAGTCGCTCCCTTTTTGTCTGTGCCACCGAGCGATTCCATCTATGGACGATATGATCTGGTAGTCGAGCAACCATTCGGTTGATCTCTCGTATATCATCCAGAATGTTGAGATCGACAATCTCAGCCTTGGCTACCAGACACTGTTGAAGGAAGTCTGCAAACCGCTGCAGCCCATTGTGATCCTTGCTGGTTATCTTGGGCCACACATCCAACTTTGTCCGAAAGGCTTCAGCAATAGCAAATGGATTGCCAAACCTCTTTTGAAGGGTGCTCTTTGCTTGCTCAAATGCATTTTCTGACCTCAGGAGAAAGTAGCCACTGACTGCCTCCTTTGCTGGACCACCAAGATACCTTCGAAGGTAGTGAATTTTTTCACCAGGAGGGATGCCTCTTCGCTCTACCAGAGTAGTGAAAGCCGACACCCAATCTGGATATTGGAGTGGGTCTCCAGTGAATATTGGCGGCTCCGGAACGGGTAGACGACTCTGAGCCAAGGCATCAGCGAGATCTAAAACTGGTGATCTTGGCTGGAACATCGGAGCTTGGGGATCAAGCACTACTTGCGCTTGCTGTGACACGATGGAGGCTGGTTCATCAATCAATTTGCTTTCTAACTTGGGAGATGCCCTTGGGATCACATCAGTTGGATTTGGCTGATCTTCGATCTTTTTGACAACAGTTTTACCTCCACGCGAGGATGAAGAAGAGACTGTGCTGGTTCCATCTTCTTCATCGTAGACTCTCATAATTGCTTCTTGTGCCTTGAGCTTGCCTTGTAGTCTTTCCTCTTCTAGTTGTCTTTTCAGCTCGGACATTTTGAAAACTACTTGCTTCCTCCTCATTTCTTCCTCAAGTTCCATTCTTTCGAGCTCCTTTTCCCGTTCATTTTGAAGCTTCTGGGCTGTAAGCTCTTCTTGTAATGCAGCGGCTTCTGCTGCGACTGCAACTCGTCGTGACGATCTGGAAGATGTCCTCGAGAGTCGTGATTGTGTTGAGTGCGCCAACCGAATTGATGGTTGTCTAGAAGAAGACATGTTGGATACCTTATCAATATCCGATAAGATATTACGAACAGAAATAGAAGATTCATCCATTGCCTCAATAACCTCATCATCAATGGAGTCTTCATTGAGCCTTTTTAGCTCAACAAATATCTCCTTCAAAGAATTGAGCCTAGCAGTAATGTCAAGCTTATTCACTGCTAAGCTATCACCATCAATGTTTTGAGACAATAAGCTATTTCGAGTAGATTGTATGATCGAATGCAAATCTATATGTTCAACAAAAAACTTACCTTGAAGGTCGTCTTCTTTATTCTGCAATGCTTTCTCTGTCAATTTGACAGGACGAGTGGAGCGGCGAAGTGTTTCAGGAGGTAAGTTAGTCGAGTCAGTAGTCAAGTTATTTTCAGTTGGTTGTTGCCCTTCCATATTGAACGATATATTTTTGAGGTAAATAAACCAACGAGAAAATCAGTATTTGAGATCAAATTTAAATAATCTTGACCGAAATTTGAAGTTTGAATTTGAATCAAAGTTTGGAAGTGAAATAGAAATGGGCGTGTGGGAGTGGGCTGGTAACAGCAAATGGCAGTAGCTGATAACAAATAGCAAAGATAACTGCTTTAACCCAAATCTCAATTCGGGCACGATAAAAACACAGCGCTACGCAGGACATACAATTCGATACATTCAAGCTTTGAAATAATAAAAATATCAAACGTAGCATAGAATTAATGATATTATCATGAATCCAAATCAATTCCAATATCAACAAGGTAACCCGATTTCTAATCAATTTCAAATTATTATGACCTTTTGTTCCCTTGTTCTTAAAGGAAAACACTATCGGTAATCAGTTTCTTTTTAGTTTAGAAATTTTTTCAATCTTAATAAAAAAAATATCCTTTCAAATGAACTTGATCATGTTATTTTGTCTCAAAATCATCTATAAGTGCACACACAAGGTTATTCTTGATGAGATGTTACATACACATAACAAATTCTGTAAACTTATCTCCACTCGTTAGATAAGTATTTTAAGAAAATTATAATCTTAGCTGAAAATTTAAATCCCAAACATCATAAGGGAATCAAGTCTTATGTTGTTTTAAATTACGTTATCCAAACAAATCAGAATAAATAGCTGTTACAATTCTGGGATACGAACCAAGACTCTGTTAGAGATCTTAAAGGTTTTAAATCTGAAATTCTCTCGAGAAGTTGATATGCAAGCCTAAATCAATCTTTAGCTTGTTTATTGCTTAAGTTTCCAAACGAGAAATTTCAATCGCATATAAATGTTCTAGTGTTCTTTCTTTGATTTCAATCTTCAATTATTTTGATGAAAATGAACCTGACATCCTTGAGCGATGATCAACCTCCAAGCCGTTTGATTGCCCGTGTCTTGCCGAGTTCCTCGTCAGCTTCCTTAGTGGCCAGGTGAGGACGAATGCAGTTCCAGACATCACATCAAATATTTGGCTTGAGTAGTTGATCCAATTATGGATTTCTCAGGTGTCATGTCCATCCGAGTTTTCACTGTTGCTGCCGCAGGATCAAAATAACTCAACGTTGAAACGGATGTTCATTTTCTGGTGACGAATGTCTTTATTTGACTTAACGATTGTCAAAACAAAGTAACAGTGATGAACAGTGCCGTGAAAACTGTGAACATAAAAAGTATAAAATAGCACAGAATAATAAATACCGTGCGAAAGATACAAATATATGTACACAAGTAAATATACAGATTACTTGTCAATTTAAAGAGTTGATAAACCAGATAGATGTTCTTAACGAGAGTTGTTCATACAGATATGATTTGTCAGAATGAGTATAAAAAGGGTTCATGATAAAACATTTATGATATGAGCTACAAGTCTCTTACGAGAAATTTGATAAACATGCATTAAGAGCATACTAGTTAAGACTATGAATATAAAAGCAAGTTTTATATGCTACTGATTTACAGAGAGTAATTATTCATGAATAATTACTCAAACATGAAATATTCAAATGGCTTTCCATAATTTAGTGTTAGATGTAAACAATCTCACGTGTGTGGAAAACTAGCTCACTGAACGCTACTAATCACAACATGAAAAAACACTTATAATGTATCAAAATTACAAACTGATAGATCATGTAAGTAATATGAAATTGTTCTAAATACATTTCTGCCATAACATACCTCGTTGGCAGGACTTTTCCATCCTTGGGCAGCAAAATATACCTTGAAACTTTGGCGTTTCTTGAAGACCCCACAAAACACGTATTGCTTGGGCCAGGTCGTAATTCAGAAAAGCCAAGGGTCAACGCGTTCACCGAACTTATCGGCACACGGATATCAAATAATTTGTCCAACTGGAATTTTACTTAAAACGACCAACGATTTAATTTTGACAGAATTTACTAATGTTATTCGCATTTCAATGAACATTACTTTACATTTCAGTACATAATTAATGATAATAACTTATTTCTTATGCTTGAATGTATGGAACTATTTTCTCGTGCGTACTAAAAATGTGTTTGTAGGCCTTTTATTGACATTGACCCGCGCTAGGCATGCGCTGTAAATCTTTCTTAAGTAACAAAGACAAATTACTTAAAGGGCGATGCACATGTAAAATAGGTGGTGCTATGAACAAAAATTAAAAATACTAATGACAAATTCTGGCGGCAGCCACAACTTATATTGGTTATGAATGAGAAAATTCCAGAAGTAGGATTTTTTTTACATTTCATTGTTCATGGTTCTCGACTATCGCCATTCACATTTCTATCAAATGCTTCCTATTTTATTGTAATTTTGCATGAAAAATAGATTTGAATGTGATAGTTTGTATCTATCATTTATACGTTCATCTCATAAGCAAAACTTATTTCAAATTTTTACCTTTTCTTACATGTTTTGATAATGAACGAATCACGAACGAAGCCAACTGGGAGATGGCTTTGTGATTGGTCATTAAATCCAAAGTTATGAAGAATTCATGAAGAGCAGTAAAAGCTAGAGTACAAAAGCCCTCGCGGCTAAAGCCACTCGATCGGGCGTTCACCCCGGGTCTCTAGGTTCATCTCAGCTGCTGATTGGGGTGGAAAATAGCCAGAGTCAAGAGGCCTTGTCAAAAGGCTAGTTCTACCATGGATCAAAATGGCTGACTTTACAATTGAGTAATTAGCTTGTTCAGTTTTGAGATAGATAAGTGATGGTCATATACATCATGTACTTGTATCATAACTAAAAATGAAAAACTACTTTTTCCACCAACAAAGAACAAGTTTATATTTTAGTGTTATTTCATGTGGAAATTTTGTCAATATTGTAGATGCTTGGGATTTGTATGTTTTTTTGTAGAATTCATGGAAATCAAAATGAAATGTAGTAATTCGATTAATTCTATCATTAAGTATTTATATAGCTAGTGCGTACATTGATCTCTCTCTCTCTCTTTTGTCTCTATTACAGACAAGCAGAAGAGGAATCGTGTGTTTACACCGGAGAAACCTTCAAGTCCAAACAATTCCCAGAGTCAGACGGAAGAGGAGGTGATACCCCCTAGTAAACAGGTTATCAATGGAGAGGACATTCAGGCACTCGCCATCGACCCCCAGGAGTTTGCTAAGGTCAGATATCGTACTATTCATACAACTTTCAACAAAGGGAAAACAAAGCTGACAGGGGGAGGGGAATCTCATCAGAATATTAACCCTCACCTTTTTTATGCCTCCGTTACGAAGTAGCCGGAGGCATTATGTTTTCGGGTTGTCCGTCCGTCCGTCCGTCCGTCCGTACGTCTGTACGTACGTCTGTACGTACGTCCCGTTCTCGTGATCACGTTATCTGAAGAACGGATCAATGGATTCCTACCAAACTTTGGTCATATATGTATCTAGCAAAGTCGATGAACTGATTAGATTTTGGGGTCACGAGGTCAAAGGTCAAAGGTCACAGGGCTCATTATGTATGCAAAAACAGCTCGTGATCGCGTTATCTGAAGAACCGATAGATGGATTCCTGCCAAACTTTGGTCATGTATGTATCTTGCAGAGCCAATGAACTGATTAGATTTTGGGGTCACGAGGTCAAAGGTCAAAGGTCACAGGGCTCATTATGTATGCAAAACGGCTCGTGATCGCGTTATCTGAAGAACCGATAGATGGATTCCTGCCAAACTTTGGTCATGTATGTATCTTGCAGAGCCAATGAACTGATTAGATTTTGGGGTCACGAGGTCAAAGGTCAAAGGTCACAGGGCTCATTATGTATGCAAAAACAGCTTGTGATCGCGTTATCTCAAGAACCGATTGATGGATTCCTGCCAAACTTAGGTCATGTATGTTACTTGCAGAGCCGATGAACTTATTAGATTTTGGGTAACGAGGTCAAAGGTCAAAGGTCACAGCGCCCATTATGTATGCAAAAACAGCTTGTGATCGCGTTATCATTAGAACAGATTGATGGATTCCTGCCAAACTTAGATCATTTATGTATCTTGCAGAGCCAATGAACTGTGTAGATTCTTGGTTCATAAGGTCCAAGGTCATGGGCTCATTATGTATGCAAAAATAGCTTGTGAACGCATTCTCATTAGAACTGACAGATGGTTTACTATTTAACTCTGGATATCTTGCAGAGCCAATGAGCTGAGTAGATATTAGGATCATGAGGTCAAAGTTCAAAGGGTCATATATGTATATGAGAAATTGTTTGTAATCACGATATTCTGAGAACCTGTTAATGGATTACAATTGAACTTGAATTTGAAAAATTTCTTCTGTTTTGGTTTGTAAAATTGCTCTATGACGGAGGCATCATTTTCGACTGCGCGCAGTCGAATTCCATCTAGTTTAAATCGTGTATAAACTTGTCTTTAAATGTTTTTTGTTTAAATAGTGTGAAAAGGGAATGATTATCAGTGTATGATTATCATTTTTTTTTTTAAATATAAGTGTTTTAACTCAAGCCTGATAATTACCAGATTTAAATTGGTTTCCCAATAATTATTTTCCCTATTGTTCCTATTTTTCCCCAAATTTCTTTCTCAAAAGAGGGGAATATTGTTAAATGACATTTTTTTCCCCCAAAATCCTTTTTTATTTTTACTCAAGGGGGAGGGGGGGGGGGGGGGGTTGTTGAAGAAAAACAGACTTTACTAAAACCCTGATTACTTTTTTTTAATCCCGATAGAAATTCACTCACTACTGTTTTCATTGTTATGTTGGTTTCCATATGATTTTGCAACTATTTCACATCAATGCTACCGTATTGCCCATGGGACTGTGAATAACTCTTCTCAAAGCATGCTTCTTCATTTTATTCTCATAGTGGTACGTTTATAATGAAAGAATGAATGAGATGATATCCGCAACTTTTTTCCCTAGAAATCTTCATTATACAAGTAGCATGATTTGCCAGTATCTTCATGGAAAGGTATCTCTGAGAACAATTGTCTTCTTTCTCTATTACAGCTGCGAGCTCCAAAGCCTCCCCAGTCACCTAAGGTCCGCCCCTCCTCTAAGCCGGTGACGGTACGGAAGATGAAACCGCAGTCTGAGTTGGACAAACCCAAGACTAGACCCATCCTTATCGCCAAGCCTGCACCACCCAATGCCCCTCTTGTGAAGGAGGACTATATCGGTATGTAGCATAAAATTATGTCAATAGCATGCAGAAGAAATGAATGGTATGTGATGTTTAACAACATCTTTTTAAAACCAAAAATTTATTAATCTTACATTACGGTATCCATCCCCCATTAACATTTTTTTGTTGTTGTTTGTTGTTGCTTTTTTTTTTTGGGGGGGGGGGGGTCCTGTTGATGAAAACAGACCTGCCAATCAGTACGATTTAGTCGTATTTAGTACGACTTTTAGAAGCAAATACGACAGTACAATTTTTCTTAATAAAATACGATTTTCAATTTTTTTTTTTTTTTTTTTTTTTTTTTCAATTTTATTAATATTTTGTGTGTGCGTCCGCCATTTTCAATGTCAAAATGTCCATTCTGTCCTGTAAAGTATCCTACAAGCATCTCACATCGGCAATTTGGGGATGTTTATTGGTTATTCGAACACGCCAGTCGTGACGAAATAATGCATATTCAACCAATGATCAATAAAAAAAATTCTTCCTGTAGGTAGAAACTTTAAGAGGCATTGATCCACGTAACAATCCGTGTTTATTTTCAAGAATACAACTTTTGTCAGTAAAATACAACTTTTGACACTAAAGAATACAGTTTTTGAACTCCAGAGGTTGGCAGGTCTGTGAAAAGATAGAACAATGATTTGAATATTGCCATCAAAATGTCGCCGTCCAAAAAATAGAAATATAATGTAATTAGCAAACAAATATTTACAACAAGATTGTCACAAAAAGAGTATTGAAGAAATCAAAACATTACCTCTCTGTAATTCTTTATTGGTATATTTTAGGTGCTGGAGGACCACGGTTTGATTCCACTGGGAACATAATGCCTCATAGCATCCTAGGGACGGTAGAAGGATTCAAGATGGAGGCTGTATACCATGGTCACATGGAGGTAAGTCCTGCATTAAAGGCATGGTTTAACAATGTTAAATCTGAGATGCATGGCCCTACGTGTTATCAGTGTCTGTGATATGGTGTAATATTGAATCCCTAAAAAAAATTGCGCTTCAAGATGATCATGAAGTGCCTCCAAAAAGAAATCTTTGAGTAACTGGTTTTACCATACTTGTTTTTCCCAAAAAAAAGTATTGTTATAAAAACTGTTAAGAAAACAAATTTTTGAATTTAGTTTTCAAATCATAAATATCTTGATAATCAGGCTTGTAAAAGTCATGGGGTTCCTGACTGACCTAAAGGTTTAATAATAATATTAAATATTAATATTATTTAGCTTTTATGTAACGCTTAATAAAACTTCAGGATTTTATTTCAGAATCTGAGACAAAGTTACCCAATCCCTTTAAGCGCTACAAAATTTTAAACTGCAACCTTATAAAAACTACTTTCATCATTTGATGATTCCCTAAACACATTTTTGTGTTTGTCAGAGTGCCATTTTAATGAATAATCTATGTGACCTTTGCCCTCTCTAGATGGCCGAGGACCATCCGATAGAGCCCCGCCCAAGGACACCAGCAGTCAAACCAGAGTTCAGTAAGAAGGTGGAACCCAAACCTCGAGACCCGTACATGGATGAAAACCAAGCGCTTATTAACTGGCAACAGAAGATGTTTGAGAGGAAGAAGACTCAGGGTTATATCTCGAGTAAGTGTACTAGACTACTTTCCACTTTCACAATAAATTACATGTGTGGTACTATCAGAGGAGAATACGTCTGTCATCATTTTTGTGTGCAGTATTCAACAGATTTTATCCTGTTTTTGACATCTGCATACATCTATTCTGAAATGTTAAAAATCATACTGGATCACTAGTAATATGTTTATGAATTAGTATGTAAAGGCTAAATAAAGTATGTAAAGTCTTGTAAATAAAATACAGTATTGTAAAGGGTAAATAAAGTATTGTAAATAAAGTATTGTAAAGGGTAAATAAAGTATTGTTTATGTTGACTATATGATCTTGCTTCATATTTCATCATGTCATTATGAAGTGATAATGAAATATCTACACTAGGCATATATAATTTTTGTAAATGCTTCAAAATGCAGGTGAGAATAAAAGATCCTATAGAATGATTAAGAATATTATTCTATCAATGTTCTCTTTTCCTCTGCCATTTGTTACCAGATCTCCTTCAGAAGCCACCAGAGACACTGGTCATGAATCAAGCTGAGGAGTATAGGCAGACCCAGGAGGAACGTTATATCATTGACAGAGCTATACCTGCCATGGACTATGGCAAAGGATGTAAGTTAAAACAATCAACAGAGAATGGCTCTCAGACTTGTGTCTTTTGATATAGAAGGGAATTACCTTGCAGGCTTCTTGACTCTCTTCTACGTTTTGCACATTATAAATTCTGATAAAAATATGTGATTGGAGGTGTGGTAATTAAAACCTGTTGCAGTCAGATGCCTTATTATGATATATTTTGTTTTGTTATAAAATGTCAGATTAAGAATTACAATGTCTCTTTGAATTAAAAGTTGTAAATGTGTACAACAGCATCATTGTTTATTTTCTACAAAACAAATGTAACACATGTTTTGTATATTTTTATGTTGATGTTCTGACAAATGAAACATTTCAAGATATAAAATAAATCAGTGAATTAGACAGAGATGTAGAAGTGTCTAAAATATCTTCAAGAAAAAGAAATAGAAATATTATTGATGATATTTCATACATTCATAACAAAGAGACATCAACGGTGTAGTTTCTTGTGAGAATTTCTAAGCAATTGCTTTTAATGAATAGTATATGTTTTCATTTATTTTCATTGTTCCAGATCGTGTTGGCAGTGAATTTTGGAAACAGCAGGAGAGATTTGGAGATGACTTGACCGGCATACAGTAAGTTAACGTTTGAATGTGAAAACTGTCCATTTATGTTTGTTCCTAGATAAAAGCATTAAATTATAGTCATAATCATATGAGCTAAACATGAGTTATAAGAATTATACTTTATTTGACTCGTAGATGTACTCTTTTTAAATCCTAGGAATGCATAGTACCTAGAACCCTTTAGGTTCCAGAGCAAAGAAGCTTAGACAAATACAAAGATTTAGAAGAAGCCTTCTTGGTCACATACCGTACTCTTCGGTCTACCACCCCAACCATTTTAAAGTTAGTATTCTGCTCAAAATGCAATATGATTTTGAATTTCAGATTTTTTACAAATTATTATTATTGTTATCTGCACTTTGCATTCTTTTTTATTTCGTCTGTAGCATGAAGTATAGATGAACTGATTTTGATTTATTGGACACTCAGGGTCAGGCCAAATGCTATTCATAGTAATTACTTAAATAATTATAGTGGTATATTTCTCTCTTTTATCCATGATAATAACCTTTTCTAATTTTTCAGTATGACCATGAGCCAGACAGAGAGAGGCTACCCACCTCCAGTAGAGCACATTGGATACTCAAAACTCACTAAGAGTGAAATGGGTGAGTACAATATATACAAAATAGATTCTATTCTCTTTTATCATAATTCTAAACTATAATAGGTGTATGTGAGCATATATATATATATATATATATATATATATATATATATATAGATTGAAGATGAGTTTAAGAATCATTGAAACTGCAGAATCTAAGATTGACATTCAGATATTTACTGAAACTTTCACCCTCGTTTCTCATCATTCTTTCAAATTTCTATAATGATTTTTTTTTTAAAGTAGCTTTAACATGAACATGAAAAATGAGCTTGGTGCAGCAGTATAGGAAACAAGATCGCTACAGTTTGATTGATCACTATTTGTCTTGTGATTGTAGGTATTGCATGGCCTGAAGGTCGAGCCTCTCCCGTTCACTATCCTTGGAAGCGCTCTCAGTATCTCAAGGATAGGAAGAGACAGCTTCAGCATGTCATTGATGAGCTTGATCCATTCAAACCTGTAAGTGCCCTTACTAACCCTATGAGAAATGTTAAGATTGTTGTTTTTCCCCTACTGATTAAAGTGACTCGGTAACATTGCCTCAGATTCTGAAACAAAATCCTGGATTTAGCTCATATGCACTGCAATCATAATTATAAACCTTTAGGTCAGCCAGGAATCCCATGGCTTTTACAAGCCGATCGCCTGTCTGATTATGAATATATTTATGATTGGAAATGAAATTTCATTTTTCGTTTTCCTAACAGTTTTTATAACACTACAGTCTACTATGGGAAATGAGTATGGTAAAACCGGTCACTCAAAGATTTTTACTTTTTTGAGGCACTTCATGATCATTTTGAAGCGCAATTTTGTTAGGGCTTCAATATTACACCATATCACAGGCATTGATAACACGTAGGGCCATCCATCTCAGATTTGTCATTGTTAAACGATGCCTTTAGTCGTGTCAACCTGTTTGACATGACTAGATTTTTGTAGAACAGACATATTCCATAGATTCCAGCCTAATTAATGTGTGGGTTATTTTTCAACGGGTTAAATACCTTTTTATAAACAAGAAATGGACAAGTTAAAGGTTGGAATACCGGTATATTGAAGAGTCTGATCAGTTCTTTAAAGCCCCACTGCACCACTTAAAGCTACTTGCGCCCTCTATATAGCAAACAATGCCTAATCGGTGACCATTGGTCCCAAATGATCCTCTTTTTCTTATGTTAATTAAGAGTTGATTTGATGAAATAACAACCTGTCAGTGACCATGCAGGGAGGTCTAATCCCTCCTGGTCAAACTATTGCAGAGGGGCTTTAATAAATTATATTATTAATAACTTTAAGTGTGATAAGTATTTTGAATATGGTTTGCTTCATTTGAAATCTTTGTTGTGTTGTAGGATCTGGAAGGTCTTCAAGTGATTGGCACCAACAATCCTAAGCAGAAGAAGTTAGAAGTCTGGACTCGGTCCACCTCTGATGATGTAGGCACCTTCAAGATTGGCAATGGAGGAGACCATGATGTGTAAGATAATCTTTGAATACTTTCATCGATGTGTGTGCAGGATGATCGGCTTCAAATGATATCTGCTTACTAGAATTAGGGCAAGAAGGAAATTTGTAATGCTAGAACTTCTTTCTAGTAATATACTATCACAGTGTTATTTCTTTATATGGAGGCGGAATAATTCTTTTGATTAAAGGGATTGGGTATCTTTGTCTTTTAATAGATTCTGAACAAAGTCGTGGATTGAGCTCATGCTGCAATCATAATTATTAACCTTTAGGTCAGTCAGGAATCCCATGATTTTTACAAGCCAATCGTCTGTCTGATTATCAAGATATTTATGATAGGAATTTCAAAAATCGTTTTCCCAATGTTTTTTATAACACTACAGTCTATTGGGGAAAATGAGAATGGTAAAACCAGTCACTCAAAGATTTTTAATTTTTTTGAGGCTCTTCATGATCTTTTTTTTTAGGGCTTCAATATTATATCATATCACTGACACCGATAACACGTAGGGCCATGCATCTCAGATTTGTAAAACTGGAAACATTGTTAAATAATGCCTTTAAGGAATATGTTCTGAGGCTAAATTGTCTTTTCACAAGGTTGTTGAATAACTAGAGATGCATTTCTGATGAAGAACACTTTCATATTAACTGTTACTTGTCTGAAGAGAGTAACAACAATAAATACTTTTATTTATTTCCTTGAACAGGAACCCTAACGAGAGTGAGATGCCTGAGGAGACCATTCCTGAGCCCATCATTGGTCCATCTCTGCAGTTCAATGGTTACCCCGCACGCTGGACTGGGGACAGCACCAGTCATAAGGGACAGATCGCCTGTAGCTCCAGAGTGACTTTTGAAGCCTTTGCTGGAGTGAGGACTACATCCCACTTGGAGCTGGTTAACGATGGCACTACGACCATCTATTATGACTGGAAGGTGAGTTGATGATATTTAGATGAAAGGAAAATTATAACATGCATCTGGAATAATGTTGACATAGTTATTGATAACAGAGTTGTGACTTGTGAGGTAAAATATTATTTGTAAGTAGGGGAAGATCAACACAGCCTTTACAGAGTACTAGACTAAAACAGAAGGACAAACAGAAAGATTGTGTAGAGTAGATAAGGCTGACAATAACTTCTAGTAAATGAATATGGTGTTATCATTCAGAAGGGTTTAGTAACGAGGAGGTTCTTAGACGAGCTGGAGTGCAAAGGAAAATGATACGTGAGATGTTGATTAGGCAGTTGAAGTTCATGGGTCACATTACATGTAAAGAAGGCCTAGAGAATCTTGCTTTGACAGGGAAAATTGTGGAAAGGAGGAGGATACTTTGGATGGACAGTCTGCAGAAATTGTTGGAAGAGAGAGGAGTGAAAGAACTGGGAGTAGTTCTAATAGAGAAGGCTAGGAACCGAGGGTTATGGAACAGCATGATCACCAAAGTCAATCGATATGGTACTTAGAGAGAGAGAGAGATATGTAAAGAAAGGTCTTCTTACATTTTGTTTTTCACAGAAAATCCCCAAGCTGAACCCATTTGAAGGATGCTCCACACCTCGTATCCAACGCTTCTACTTCAATACCAGCAGTGGGGTGCTCCTCCCTGGTGAGAGCCTTCGATTCCCCTTCGTCTTCAAGTCTCCCAACGCTGGGATCTTCACTGAGAGCTGGCAGCTTGATACCCGCCCCGTGGTGTGCGGGGGTGGGGCGCTGCAGGTTACCCTGAGGGGTGTGGCCCTGCAGGAGGATAAGAACTTGAAGCAGAGGAAGGACATTGAGGTTTGTAGGAAATGTAGATACTTGAGTGGATGTGTTATGAATGGAAATGGAGAGGGAATGGTGTATTGATCAGTGATAGGGAGGAGCATGTCATGATAATTCAGCGTCGGAAGAGAGAAGACTTCCTGCATCTTAGACATCTGTTGCTTTCCTGCATACCAGGGGGGTGTTTCCAAAGATACTTAGTTGTACTCATCTCTAAGTTGGACTTAACAATTATGGAAAGCTGTTAACATCTTTGAAAATATTTTGTAAAAGTTATTTTAAAAAGTGTAAAATGTTGAATAAAAATCATTTACATTTTCTATTATTAATGTGGAATTTACGAAAAGTTTAAAATACTTGAATGTTTGCTTTTTAATATATTTTATTCTAAGGCTACAAATGGCTCTCTGTAATGTTTAAGTCCAACTTAGAGTTCAGTTTGACTTAGGATCTTTGTGGAACACCCCCCAGGTCTAAAAATGTGGATTATACAGAGGTCAATATCCTCCTCCAGGAATTTTTAAGCAGTTCATAATGTTCACTCTTATTTTATTCAATATAAATGACACATCCATTACCTACTTTTCACTGTTTAACCTTTTTCCTCTTACCCTTCTTTTTTTTCTTATTACTGTTTCCAAATTGTATGTATAAATTAAAGGTCCACCAATTCTTCCTAATTCCCTTACGTATTCTTTCATCGTTCAGGAGGAGCTGTTTGCCAAGCAGGCTCAGGTAGCCGTGCGTCGTATCTTAGAAGAGTTGGTAGACGGTATCCGTACACCTGAGAGGGCCCACTCACCCATAGATGCCTACATCACCGATGAAGAGACATTTGAGAGACTTAATCCCGGGGTAAGTCGAGTCTAAAGCAATTCATGAATGTAATCAAAGGATAATAATATTTTCTTTTTGTGTAGCAACCATATTTGTCACACTGTGATGCGCTAGGTGTTTTAGTATTGTTACATGTGTTATTATATCTAGGGAGACGACACAACCTACATTGATTTTGGATATTTCGTTGGAGTAGCCAATTAAAGTTAAAGGGAACCAAAACTTTCATGCTAAGTTACTTTTATTGTAAAGTCTAAATTTGAATAAAATCAGTGCAGATTTTAAAAAAAGATTAGATTAACTCAATCATAAGAAAAAAGGAAAAACATGAAATTTGAAGTACGAAAGGCATGGACAGTTGTCCATAATTGATGTTACTAAATTAAATATGGCCCTCTAGTGACAAGTTAGTGACAAGATTTTGTTCAAATTTTCACTGATTTTATTCAAATCTGTTAAACTTTACAATATAAGTAACTTAGTAAGATGGTTTTGGTTCCCTTCAATAATATTTGCAGATAGTGCTAAAAATATTGGGGTAACCAAGAGCTTAGCATTTAATCATCAAATCTGTACATCAAATATTTTATAATTATGGAAATTGCAATTGCCATTTCATGTTTTACATATTTCATTTCTTGAAACTATTGTGCATTTCCCCCCATCTCAGATGCATTTTGCCAATGAGGTGGTGAGTCAGCTGAAGCAGCTTCATGTGGAGCAGTTTGATGAAGAGGAGAGAGAGGACAAGGAGTGGGATCTGGATGTCTCCAAGATGAAACGGGTATGTAGGGGTGTGGGAAGGATGGTGAAGGGCTGCATGGGAAGGTATATATTTTTGGTTTAGTATCATAGATGGTTTGGGAAGGGATGTGTTACACCATCTCTTGAGTGCCTGTATGAGGTAATGCCGTTCTGGTTGTCAGTGAATACATATATCCTGAACAAGATATGGAACAGTTCCTCAAGGATGATTTGGGTCTTAAAGGCATCGTTTAACAATGTTAAATTTGAGATGCATGGCCCTACGTGTTATCAGCAGCGTCTGTGATATGGTGTAAATATTGAAGCCTTTAAAAATTGCACTTCAAAATGATCATGAAGTACCTCAAAAAGTAAAAATCTTTGAGTGACCGGTTTTACCATACCCAATAGACTGTAGTGTTATAAAAGCCATTAGGAAAACAAATTCTGAAATTTCTAGTTCCAATCGTAGATATCTTGATAATTAGACATGCAGGCGATTGGCTTGTAAAAGTCATGGAATTCCTGACTGACCTAAAGGTTTATAATTATGATTGCAGCATGAGCTAAATCCATGATTGTTTCAGAATCTGAGACAAAGTTACTCAATCCCTTTAAAGATAAAGCTTAAAATATGTATTTTACAAAAAAAGAGATACCAGCCTTTGAAGATATCAAATGAAAAGCTTTAAAGCCTTAAAGAGGTATGTTTGACTTGAGATAATTTGTCTTTTCTTTACTGTTTGTAGGAGTTCTTAGCCATAGAAGATGAAGAGATGAGAGAAGATCTGTTAAACAGAATGAACCAAGCTGTTACGTCACTCTACTTCCCTCCCTTTACACCCATACAACATGAGATGTACAGAGTAGCGTAAGTAGCATGAAATGTAGTCATCGATATTAGGAATCATGTCCTTTTAAACAGAATGAACCAAGCTGTTACGTAACTCTATTTTCCTCCCTTTACACCCATACAACATGAGATGTACAGAGTAGCGTAAGTAGCATGAAATGTAGTCATCGATATCAGGAATCATGTTCTTTTAAACAGAATGAACCAAGCTGTTACGTCACTCTATTTTCCTCCCTTTACACCCATACAACATGAGATGTACAGACGGTAGCGTAAGTAGCATAAAATGTAGTCATCGATATCAGGAATCATGTTCTGTTGAATTCACTCTACTTTCCACCCTTTGCGCTCATACAACATGAGATGTACAAAGTAGCATTAGTATAGCACTCAATGTATAATCATCGTCAACTCTGCAGGAGTATATATCAATAATGTTATTGTGTTCATGAACTAAAAATGAGCATCTCAACACTTATAGATATGTAAAACACTTTTATATACCTTAATGCCTGTCTGTACTAGTTTGGCCAGGGGGATTAGACCACCCAGCATGGTCACTGAAGGTGGCTATCTCATCAACTCAGCTGTCAATTGACCAACGGGCACCGCTTAGCCATTGTTTTCTATGTAGAAATAGCAAGTAGCTACAAGTAATATAGTGGGGCTTTAAGGTATATAATGACAAGGTTTAGAAGTAAAAAAAAAAGATTATTTGTTGGGCTGTTGAGATTTACTTGTAAAACTAATGTACGCTTTATCTGATTTGCAAAATCAGTCTTCATATTGTGCCTGGCAGGAGCTGCAGATGGGTAACACTTCTCCTGCTTTGCTATATTACTAATCTTTTACATCACACGAATCAACTTGGGAAAGTAAGAGCTGTTCCCCAAGGTCACTAGGGTAGTAGTGATATTCTAATATCAAGGAGCATATCATGTAGTGATCAGATTTGTGTGTTATCTTTTCAGGTACAATCTCATGATGGAGAATGTGGATAACATAGTAACCCAAGCGAACACTATTAGAGTCAACATGGGTATACCGGAGAAGGTAGAAGAACTACCAGACACAGCCGAAAGTAAGTATATAGTCGAAGAGCTGATTGGTATAACAAAATTGAAGCTTTTCATCTTGCACTCATCAGAGTATATCGCAATAATGAACAGTTAGCCAAAATCAGACATTTTAAGAAAAAGCTAAAGGAAGAAGGCAGGCAAAAAAATAAAATAGAATATAATAATAGAATATTTTCCAGTATTTATCAAATTCATAACCTTTAGCAATCCCTATAATTATATAATATTGACTGGCCTTGAGGGGTGTATCAGAAATATTGACCAAACTCAGATCATATTGCCCCGAGTCGAAAGACGAGGGCAATATGGTCTTAGCGCGGTCAATATTTCTTATATCCCCCGAAAGTAAAGCCAGTCAATATTTTTATTGTTATCCAAATCAGACATCTAGAGCAAATACAAAAATCCACCATGACAATCTCAAAGAACTGAACAAACTTTGTCAAATCAGTAGTGTGCATCCAGTGCTTGACGAAAATGTTTGATACACTGCAAACAGTGTGCATTTGGTGTGATTATTACGTCACAATAGAGTGCGCGCAAAGTGCGCAGGTTCTCGTACGCATAATAGATGCGCAATGAAAATGACAAAATACGGCGCGGTCAATACAAGATGCCCGGATGCCAGACCGTGGAAAATACCAAGGTATATTTTCACTCGTCTCTTTACGCAAAGTCTATGCGAGCAAGGAGACCAAGGAAAATACAAAGAATATACCCCTCCGTTCCCACTGCTAGTGAAAACTAGGGCAATACGGTTTTGTAAATGACCAGCTCAGATGTCTGATACGGGTAATAATCAACTTTATAACACAATGATACATACTTATATTTGTATAAATCAGCCTTTGATATATTATCATCTATCTACCTAGTAACCAAATTTATATATATTTTCTTTTCAGTTCTTGCAGCAAATGATGCTCTCAGAGGAGGTATGATTAGTTCTCTATTTATTCATTTTAATATCGTTGTTGTGCATGGTTGATTAAATTCAGGTGCATTGAAAGATGGGTACCTTAACAGTGTTTGGATGATTAGACTGTGTCAATGTCATTTTCATTGTATGTTCAAATTTATATCATTCATTGTGATCATTTTGTGAAGGAAAAGGAATATGTACCCTCTGATTTGTAAAATTCATTAGCTTTTGATTACATCTGTTTTTAACATAATTTTCGGGGCTACATAAAATTTATTTTTTTAAAGAATTGCTCTCGTAATTTTTTCAAACACTGTTCGGTACCCTTTTTAATGGATCTTTGTGTATAGTGATTGTTTACTGGATTTATTCCATTTTACAAAGTTGTATTTCAGAGTTTTTCAGACCAGGCCCCTAGTTGTAGAATTATTTCAAAAGTTGTGGAAAAAATTTAGGAAATCTATTTTTTTATTGAACAATTGAACAAAGGGGCAATTTTTTTTAGAAACCAGAAAGTCTCAAAAAACTAGCCCACTGCATATCAATAGATTGATCCTTATACACCACATTTGAAAGGAAAAAAATATGAAGATAGGTGCTTTAGGCCACTTACATTGTAAGCTGGTAGTGCATGTGCTCTATATGACAAAGTTATGTATTGGTATCCATTTTATTTTCATTTGAATGTAAGCTTTGGTTATTATTTTATCTGAGAATAATATAAGAAATACCACTTTGAAGTGTTTTTATGTCGAGAAAGAATAGAGGTCGAATTAACACGGTAATGGGAAACTAAGATACAAAGTGTTTGATTTGCATGATGCACTGTTTGTCAATGAAATTAACCTGCGTCAGATATTTGCATGCAACGTTAACTGAAATTAGTGTACATATTTGTTGCACATACCAGTAGTTGAATGCACTTTGTGAAAATGTTTTATTCTGGTATGTGTGTGCAAAGTCTAATGGTAACAATAATGCACTAATCTTGTTTTGAAATTGAATTATTAATTTTCAAAGATGAATCTTAATCAATAACAAAGTAAATAATTAACAAGTCGTTAGATAATTATGAAATTCAAATGGAGGTGAATTAAAAATAAAACATCATATTATTGGTGTGTCAAAATATGGAATTCAATCAAATCATTTTGAATGATATTCATTTTCAAAGTCAGAGACACAACTCATTTTTATAATATGGACATATTTATAACCCCCTGATTTGATATTGCATGTTTATTTTTACCACAACTTGTTTTATTTTGCACGCTTGCTTGTATTGTCTTGTTTAAACACACACGATTTAATGTTGCTTGGCACTGCTTGGCTGCTTGGCTCACTTATAATGGTCCCACCTCACTCACTCACACACACCCAGGTCCTCGACGTTATAAGAAAAGTAAGTCCTCTCATCTTCCATACTCATCTTCCCTCTCCTCATATCCCTTCATAAAAACGTCAATTCAAACATAAAACAAGGCATCATATTAAATGGATTTGTGTCATTGAAGACCAATGCACACTATTCTATTTGACTACGAGCATGTTGTGAAATCTGTTATAAATCTTATGGTAAAGCTCTAAACAAACAGTTACCAAATGATTTGTTTCTAGTTAAGGTCCTTATGGGTCATACAAATTGTAAAAGTACAATTAAAAGATATCACATACTCGTTTGATCAAAAAGATAAATCAAGATGTTATTAGACCATTGGTGTTAATGATAATAGCCTTGTGGCCATCTCAGAGTTTTCTCTCATGTCTAACTGTTATTGGGTTTTTTTCAAAGAGAGAAGGATTGGAGTGTTGCCGGTATTAAGTATAGTTAGCTTCACAGTAATATAATGAAGATACCATGTGTCGACTACTTAGCCAGCAATATAGTAGGATGAAATTTATGTCTGGGGTAGTGGTGTCACCCACTAATACCACTTATGCTACACTCTAATAATAATAATGATAATAATAATAATAATAATGATAATGATAACGATAACGATAACGATAACGATAACGATAACGATAATGATAATAATAAAAAAAATAAAAATAATGATAATACTGATGGTAATAATGATAATAACACTAATAAATGATAGTAATAATGATAATGATAATATTAATAATAAAGATAACAGGCCTGATAAAAACCCGATTTAAATCGGTTTCCCGATTTTTTCCCAATTTTTTTTTCTTCCAGATTAAAAAAAAAAAAAAAAAAAAAAAAATCAGATTTTTTTTTTTTTTTTTTTTTTTTTTTTTTACCAATTTTTTTTTCTTCCCTATTTTATCCTGATTTTCCCCATCTTCCTCCTATTTTCTCTATTCTTCCCTATTTTGCCCTATTTTTCCCCCAATTTTCTTACTCGAAAGGGGGGAATGTTGTTAGATGCCATTTTTTCCCCGCGAATCCTCTTTTTTTTGTTTTACTCAAGGGGGCGTGGCTGATGGGAAATCAAAAAACCTATTTTTTTTTTAGTGCTCACTATCACCCCTGAATAATAATAGTAATAATAATAATGATAATACTAATGATAATAATGTCTTGTTCACCCAGGGTGGCCTCGTCAGTATTAATACTGTGATTTCTGTTGGCCTTGCATGTATGTTTTCTGATGTGTATGCTAACAATTAATGATTAAATTATCAGCATGTTTTGGTGAATTTGTTAAAGCACGTTATATATGCTGCATGATTCGTGTCTGAGGGCTATTTAGCAAACTAATAGCATGAACGAAACAAACGGTTGAGTACGAATCTATTTGAGTACTTGATTTGCTTACGTCTCGACCAGTTTACACTAAAATGGATAGCTATCTTAAATGGTTTAGCTTGACAAATATATTCATATTCATTGTACGATCATTGCTTTCAGAATCGTATTGTGTATTGTTTTATTGTGTAACCTTCATCACCAATTTCAGTTATGTTCTGTACCATACAGATGTCATTCCATCATTGTTTAGGCATTTGTTTTATTCACTATTTAGTCACTTCAAACTAGGCTGCCAAACTATTTGGGGTATGTGTATACATGTATGTGCAAACAAAAAATTAATTGCATGTACTTCCATTCATCAACCAGAAAGTACAGAGTTCACCATTATGATCTCAGAGAAAACACAACCTTGTAACAAGGTCCGTTCTTCCATTTCAGTTGTTTTATGTGCCATCAACCGATCCTGCCACTGACATGTTTCATAGATCAGGAATCTTTTGCTCATTACTTGCAATTATAAACTTATCAATCTTGTCAACTCATTAGCACATTCACATAACATCCCAATAAACAATTGAAATCTTCTTTCAATTCTAAGGAAGAGAGCAGCAGATTTTTCATGGTAGATGGGATATATAAGCAGTGACTGATTGTAAGAAATCATATATATATTTTGTTACAGGTGAACTCAAGAAAAGAAAGAAAGAACCGAAAGAAGAAGAAACTCCTGGAGGGAAGAAGGATAAAAAAGATGGCAAGAAAGGGAAGAAAGATGTAAGTATGATGTTATCATGTTTGGAATCTTTGCCTGATAAAACAAAAAAAATTCACCCATATCTCAGTAGTATATTCCTTTTCTTCACAGAAAGGGAAAAGATAAAGACTTTATGAAATATTTATTGATGATTATTCAAATGTTAAATTGATAGACAACAGTCATGTTTTCTGTGATTTGAGGAACCAAAATGTGAATTACAGTAAATGATTACAACTAAAATTGATCCTTACTAATACACTACATTTGCAAAACTGTGAAATCAGGAATACATAATGCCAATGGATTGCATCTATTTGTAGCTTTTGGCAAATTTGCAAGAGCACTGTAAGCTGGCAAGATGAATATTCCTTCTCATCTTGGTATGTAGGACAAAGAAAAAGACAGACCAAAGAGTAAGGGAGGAGATAAAACACCGGGTAAGGGCAAGAAATCTGCTCCCAGTCCGGCCACACCTACTAAAGATAGAGAGAAGAAGACTCCGTCAGGAGGGGAGAGAAGGGGGCGAGCCCGTACCCCTAGTAGCGGCTCCATGGAGAAGGTACATGTCTCAGTGACGGGGGATCCCATCATGGATGCCAAGTATAAGAACAAACTCTACATACAGGTGAGTGATGGGAAGTGTTGATTGGATTAACATGCTTCAAAGTGTCAGGATATAAAACAGTGCATTTGTTTTGTTATTAATCAGGTAGCACATTGAAATATAATAGCATGTACATTTGATGTGGTAAGGTCGATTTTTGGAAAGTCCTACATTGAGAGAAATCGCCTTGTCTTGATATGATATTGGTGACTTTAAAATAACACAGATAATTGACATCTTAGACCCCCCCCCCCCCAAAAAAAAAGGGGGATCCATATGAAATTCCACAAAAATGATAGTTTTTCTTCTTTTCTGTAATGAACCTTGTGAAGCAAATGATTTCTTTTTCATTAATCCCCAACTGAAAATCAGTAGATAAACAGTGAGATCTTTTAAACGATTGTAAAGGAATCAGTGTTACTGCTATCTTAGACAATTTATTTGTATAGTATTCGTTTATTTTTTGTTCATTTATTTATTAATTAGTTAATTAATTTGTGTATCTAACATTTAAACTATTTTTTCCTCTTCTCCCTTTATCTCATCTTACAGGTATATGCTCTACTGTCAGAGACGGTGGATAAGATGACTGCATTGTTTGAAGACATCAAAGAGAAACAAGATAATGCTCTGATGCAGCAACTTATGCAGAAAATGTGATCAGACCAAAGAGAAAGAGAAGACTTCTAACATTTCTGTATCATTCTACTGTGGATCTCACGGACATTCATATTAACAAATTGTATATGCAATATGCAGTGTATAAAATGTTGAGAGTTCAAGATATATTTATATGTGTATTAATCTTTTATTTAACACTACAAAATTATTATTATTACCTATGAAACCAGGGCCTTGTATCAAAACATGCTTTGTAGAGTGTTTCTCTTCTAGTCACCTAAAGGGATATATCACACATAATTCTTGTAACAGCAAGTTTTGTGAAAGTCAAGTTACAATTAATTATCTATTTATTTAAATAACTAAAATGCTATTCCACAGAAAAGAACTTAGAATATGTGGGCAGTAATGTCAGTACCGAGCCAGGCCAATATGTACCTACTGCCCATTTTTCTGTTATGAACCATGGGGCTGTTTCTCCAAGCCGTCATAAGTCTAACTTCATGGACATCCCATTGAAATGCATGTTATAGAATACATGTATGTCCACAAACTTGGGCTTACAACGCTTTCGAGAAACTGGCCCCATATTGCTATTTGTTATGAAACAGATTTTACCTTAGAAAGGATATTGCAATTCGCAGATGATTCTATTTATGTGACAGTTTAAAGGTATATTGTGATTACACTTAATTGTTCTTCAGTTCTGGTAATAGCACAAGTTAAATTTTCAGAGAATACAGTGAAATTCACATTCCTACCCAGTGATATTACTAGAGGTGTACTAGAGATCATCAAGAGAGGTCAATTTTTCTTCTAATCCATCTTATCTGCTAAGAAATACACCCATATTAAAAATCCAAATTCGTATATGTGCTTTTCAGATGCCGTTCTATCTATGTTTCAATTCAACAGTCCAGACATACCCCCTGGCTAGAAATAAATCAGAAAAGACTTATTACAAAGCTTCATTACCAGAATTTAAAAGATTACCTTTCGTTCAAGAAAAATGAACACATTATGAAGAATATTTACGCAAACACGTTTTTTAAGATAACAGCAATATTTCACAATATAACTTGTTCCATCTTTCTCATCAAGCGAGATATTTCAGGCAGCTAAGCTTAAAAAAAATTGGTTTCCATTCCTGTGATTACTGTATACACGTATTTCTATGCTTGTGCAGTATCCATTCTGATATTCATTGTCATTTAATATAAGAAGGAAATAGAGGAAGCAATAATGTAGTTTCAGTCTCAATTTTATTACAAAAAATAATTTCTATACAACATAATAATAGTGACACATTTGCAAATGCTGTTCTAATTGTATTCATGTTCACAATCACCTTGACAAACTTCGCCTTGTATTGGATAATTTTCTGAATAAATTACAGAGTTCCGTCCAAAGTGTGATTTTTGTATCTGTTTCAATGATTTCTGTGTCTTGAATTTTTTAAATTTTTTATCAATTTATTAATTTATTTGTTAATAATGAACAGCACTAGAATCAAGAGTAACAAAAACAGGTCCCTCCTTTATTTTCTATTAATTCTGTACAGCAAATTTAGCACACAACCAAGTCACTGTATATAAATACATGTATGATACCTCTACTATCCAGACAACTGTTTTCCTCCTTAATTCAACTTGTAAATTTCAATGCCCTTACAGTAAGAAATTCCCATAATAGAAGCAGAAAAATGAGAGAAAGAGGTCAGTGAAAGTTTGAGCCAAAATCGATTAAAAATACTGGTAAGAAAGATCTAAATATAATTATTGCAAATATGTTTTTATAAAACCCATGTATGAAACAAATCTTTTCCGTCATGAAATTAAAAATTTATGAAATTGTCTGTACAGATCAGATTGGAGAGGAGCTTGCAAGATACATCACAGTATTGCCAATTTGTGTTTCACTGAGGACAACTTAAAAAATTCATAACTTTCCTATTCTTAATCCGATATTGCTCAAACTTTCACTAAATTGTTTCTCTCATCTTTCTGCTTATATTAAACCAAACTTGATATCAGGGTGGACTTCCCGTTAAACCCCTTTTGCAGACCTGCCAACCTCTGGAGTTCAAAAACTGTATTCTTTATTCCCAACAGTTGTATTTTACTGATAAAAGTTGTATTCTTAAAAATAAACACGGACTGTTATGCGGATCAATGCCTCTTACAGTTCCTACATACAGGAAGAATTTTTTTTATGGATCATGGGTTGAATATGCATGATTTCGTCATGACTGTCGAGTTCGATGAACCAATGAACATCCCCAAATTGCCGATGTGAGATGCTTGTAGGATACTTTACAGGACAGAATGGACATTTTGCCATTGAATATGGCACACACACAAACAAAAACACCCAAAAAAAATATTTTAAAAAAAAAATAAAAAAAAATTTTTAAAAATCTTTTTTTTTTTTTTTTTGAAAATCGTACTGTCGTATTTGCTTCTAAAAATCGTACGAAATACGACTAAATCGTACTGGTTGGCAGGTCTGCTTTTGTGATGAACAGTTCTGCATATTTGTCAAAAAATAAACAAGCTTTCAATTTTGACTATCAATGGCTGTTGCATTATCAAATTGGACATACTACATTCCATGGGGATAAGCTTTACGGTGAGGGACTGAGGGTACTTTTTCTGTTCTAGGAAGTAAATTATAGCAATTTTTGTCCAAAGAAGGCACGATGGCTCAGTGGTAGAGCGGTGGTACCAAGTTCAAAACTAAGTCAATGCCCTCATGCCCTTTGGTAAGGCATTAATCCTCATTACCAAGTCCCTCGGTCCCTTGGTTGCTTACTTACAAGCATATACATGCTTTCTTTAATAGCAGTCAGGAAAAACAAAAATCAACCAACCAATGGTAATCAACCAAATACACTGGTAGATTATCATACTTTGGGGCGAGATTTGACGCCCACAGCATGGAAGGGTGAAGCATTCCATCTCTCCCATACTTCTTGAAACTGTTAATACTGCTTTGTGTAGTTAACACAGCAATGAAGTAAGCGCAGAACATCAGTCACATTGGTATTGTTGGTCACTCCTGTAGTCCCACCCATATGTCCTCCTCATTATTCATGTCCATTTCAACCTGCAATGTTACAACAAGAAAATATTTTGAATATTACTAAATTTCTTTGACTACAAAATGAAATTACTTGTACGGTTATATGATTCATACACTAGAAACTTGATAAAAGAGAACAAAAAAATGAGGATTTAGAAAACATACCCAAAGTTCTCTCCCTTCTTTCCTATACTTTAGTAATTACAGCTCTTCTCTTGAAAGCATGATTTCTAAATGAGTTTTTACATTGATATTCGTTATGGACACCGAAATGAGGTACTCAATATAATGTTGGCTAATGAAAAAGCACAACACTTTAGATCAACCAACATCCTTTCATCTCTTCCTAGACCAAGAGAGAAAGTACTGTTTCAAGAAATCATCCTTTCAAAAGCCCCTTATAATACAGCATTCAATGTTACTGATATTACTTTTGAACATTGCCAACAACCTTATGCAGTCATGAATTGCTTGTTTTTTACACACATACTGTTTAGTTAAGAAATTATGTTTTCAATGTGCCATACGAATTGCCACAAAGCCCTCAACAAGTACTCTACATCCACGTATTTCTAAAGGAACCACCAGCTTTCTTGTAATGTGCTTGATAAATTATATCAGTTCAGATGAAGGCATTCAACTTGACTGTCAATGCAAGAGTGACACTTGATGATCATGTATTAATTTGTTGTAAAGATAAACCTTTAAAAAAAAGTATTATGGTTCTGTTGACACTTTAAAACTTGTTTGCTGCCATGACACTAACTTTTTTAAAAAGTCATGTGGATACCAGGAATTTATTAGACACATTGACCAACTTATCATGAAGTTGAAGCTTCTACAAACCTTACAATTTAGTTGTCAAGCGATTATCCGCTCACAGATTCTTGCGATCTGCTGCCTCGAGATCACCAGGGTGAAGATAGGTGACAATGTATAGCCAGAGTCCCTACTTACCATCTTAATTTTAAGGTTTGGTAGATCCTAAAACTGCATGTTATGATTATCCCGAGAATGAAAGTTTTCTGTATGTTTGACTAACCTCTTCTGGTGACTCCTGGTCATAGTCATTCATCTCTTCAGCTTCAGGATCTTCCGCTTCTTCTGATTCCTCTTCAGACTCAATGTCACCTTCATCTTCCTCTTCATCATATGTCTGAGACAGAAAGAGAGAGGGAGAGGGGGGAGGAGAGAGAGAGAGAGAGAGAGGGGGGGGGGGGAGAAAGAGAGAAAAGGGGGAGAGAAAGAGAGATTAAAAAGGGATATCTGATCAACATATAGTCAAGAATAATCCTCTTCTTCAGAATAACAAAGGAAAAGATGGTGGAGGAATAAAGTGCATAGATAATTTTGACAATTACGGCAAAAAGCTACTCTATATTCAGAAGTTTTCATGATTTGATTCACACAATTAGAAATCATTCTAGACATGCATATACATAATCATTTAAGACAGAGGAGAGCACAAGATCCATTAAAAAAAAGTTGAAGTATAATTATACCTACAGTAAAGTATTTTTACACAATTTCTCATCCGCATTATTCAAGTAACCACTTTTAGATTACTTTCAATATCAACAAGTTACTTCCTCCAGAAATTTCGCACAACAAAAATAAACATTGACTGTCTTTTTACTTTACATACTTTGAGAGCATGATCTGATATATAATCCTTTTCCCCTCCTTTTGTTATCATCCTTTTTTTTTGGGGGGGGGGTGGTAGGCCAGGAGTAGGTCTACCATAAATCAAATGATTTTATATACTTACCTCAGATGCTGTTTTTCCAATAGGGATCACATCTTGATCTTTCTCAACAATGCTCTGAAGCTGAAGAGGAAAAGGATTTTGGTAATTGATATCATTTGAATTTCAATGGCAAGAAAAATCATTAAACATCAACAAATATTGTTTACAACATCAAATTTAAACAATAATCCCAAGTATTCAGATGTTTAGTATTTGATTGCCAAAATCTGATCAAATTTAAGCCCTTTATTTGGAGTGGACTATTATGCTATTATCATTATTATTTATGGTAGGCACCTATTTTGGGTTTGTTCAGAAGCCTATCCAAAATTTGACCCGTAACTCCGGCGTGGAGATACCCTACTTAAACATACCCAAAATGAAGTAAATATTCATTAAATGTCCAAATAAAGATCATGAGTTAAAATTTGTTATGTTTATTACCTGTTTCGTGTAAATTTTCTTGTTATTTTTGTAGTATTTTTCGGTTAAACATTGATATTAGTATACACTTTTTCACAGGTTTCACGGCAAACCGCTGCACAATACAAGTGCATACCGATGGTGGGTTGCGGGTGGGCGCGCGCCTGTGTGAAGTTATCTACCATTATGAGGATCCGAGACATTATGGTAGATAACTTCACACAGGCGCACGCCCGCCCGTGCCCGCAACCCACCATCGGTAAGCACTTGTGCAGCAGTTTGCCATGAAACCTGTGAAAAAGTGTATACTAATATCAATGTTTAACCGAAAAATACTACAAAAATAACAAGAAAATTGACATGAAACAGGTAATAAACATAACAACTTTTAACTCATGAATTCTATTTGGACATGTATTTAGACTACTTCATTTTGGCCTTTGGGTATGATACGCCGGAGTTACGGGTCAAATTTTGGATAGGCTTTTGAACAAGCGCCCCTATTTTATTGGAATTGCCATATGATCTTCAGTGGTTTTATCTTCATCGTAGATTTTTTTTTTAAATCAGAAGTAATCGGGCCCCCTATTCAATTATTGATTACACGTTTACACCATTGATGAAAACATCTTGTGCAAGTTTTTAATTTACAAGAGAGAGAGAGAGTGATCTAATTAAACGGACCCCACAGCCCTCATCAATAGTTCAGCAAGTATCTTTTTCACAAAACTGGTGACAACATGCAACTTGCAAGTGCAAGAAAGAAGGAGCAACAATTTCATTTCAACAATTATAAAATGTCCAGTTCAGAATTTAGACATGTTTGACTCGTACATTAATAGCTTTAATCATAATAACGAGTATATATATTTCTCACAAACATGTCATTACACAACTGAGATTAGTTCTTAAAGGGGAAGTCCACCCTGAAATTAAGTTAGTTTTAATAGGAGTAGAAAAATGAGAGAAACAAGTCAGTGAAAGTTTGAGCAAATTCCGATTAAAAATAAGGAAGTTAGGATTTTTGAAGTTGTGATCAATCAAACACAAATTGGCAACTCTATGACGTATCATGCGAGCTCAACTTCTATTTGCTCAGTACTAAAAAAATCTAAAATTTTCATTTTCCCTCAAGAAAAATTTCAACCATACATGCACCCTAAATATAATAATTGCAAATATGTTTCTATACTCCCCCTGCAAGGAACAAATATATATTCCGTCATTAATAACGAAGAAAACATGACTTTATGGAATATTATGCACAAATCAAATGAAGGAGAGCTCGTATAATAAGTCACAGAGTTGCCAATTTGTATTTGATTGATCACAACTTCAATAATTCATAACTTTCTTATTTTCATTCAGAATTTGCTCAAACTTTCACTCACCTGATTTTCTTATTATTCTGCCTCTATCGAAACAAACTTATTTTGGGGGTGGACTTTCCCTTTAATGGTTTAGTTTCATTTCAACAGAAAACTTCTGAACTGGACTGAAGCTTCAGTGTGATTATTTCAAACTTCAACAAACATCATCTCCAGCGTATGGGACTGTAATTTCAAAAGGTATCTTGCACTGTCTCCCATTTTTAGTGAATATTAGCCTCTTACCCAACTCTGATGCTTTCTTTCCTCTTCTGCCAATTCTGCCTCGTCTTCAAAGGGTTTTTCCACATCGAACCACAATGGATTTGACAGCTGTGGGAGTAAAGATGGAAATATAGAAGACATTTTCTTCGATTTCGTTTTCGCCACCGTACATCACCGCGAGATGGCGCTCTTCCAGTATTCCCCGTTTCTTCAATGGGCCATGGGCTCGATCGAGCTTCTTCAATAAATTTTTGCTCTGAAATAATTTTGTTCAGGATGTGTGACAGTTGCAAAGTGATATAAACACGGAATAGATAATAATCCGGTTGCATGTTGTTGTTTGTTTGTTGTTGGTGTTGTTGTTTTGTTTTGTTTTGTTTTTTGGGGGGGGGGGAATAATTTAGAAATATAAAAAGTGGAGGACAGAATGCGGGAGGCGATAAAGTTCGATATAAAGGGAAATTTAACCCTTGCAATAAATTCATTTGTATGAAAGCAGAAAAAGAAAAGAATGGCGAAAGCTTGAAATAAATTGGACCAATAATAAGAGAGTTATGAATGTTTAAATTATGAAATATATGCGAATCAAAAATTGCCTGTTTGGTCTTTGAATTGTAATGTAGTTGCAGATCACTCTCCAGTTTGTCGGGTACAAAAATATCATTAATTTCTGTTTTCTCCTAACAGATCTAAATATTTTTACCCTTTGGGCACTACCGGTACTCAAAATATATTATGGATAACAAATTATTATACGTCCTCTAAAGAGAAAAGACCCTCCTGAGTCATCAATTTGGAAAAATTGAAATTGTAATCACCTAATGTGTTGGAATTAATGGGAAAGTTGTCCGCCACCACATTTCAGAAACACTACAATTTGAAGAGCCCATACGGTGAATACACTTTTTAACAATTCATACCTTCCTCATCTTTTGTCCGATTTCATTCTTCCATCAGTCTACTTCTCTGACTTTTCTGCTTTCCTGTTTGGTAGTTTGCTATCAAAGTTGGTTTCCCTTTAAATCAATACCAGATATTTGATATTCGATTTTTACGAAACTCGAATATTATTCTTCCTATATAAGCACTTAAGTGTTATTTATTCTGCTAAATGCACAGTTGACCACATGCCTCGCTTGTCTTCCCCTCTCGCATTTCTTTTATTCGTTTTGTTCACATTGGTAATTTATTTTTATGCCTTTTGAAGTGCATGTATGTTGATCGCCTTCTGAGGTATCTGTTCTCCTGTATGTTTTATGCTCGTAAAAAATAGTCTGCTATATGGACAATAAATACATTGAATTTAATTTAATTGAGCCTGACCATTCGAACTATGATTATGCCGTGCACACATGCAATACATTTTGCCTATAATTGTCAAAAGTGGGAAGGTAACATGATTAACATTATTCCATCATCCATTTAGAAACCTTACGATATCTAATTCGATCAAGCAGCCGGCTGCTTTGGTTTTTAATCAGAAGGGATATTAACCTCTGTTTGAAATTGTCATTGTAATTAACGGTTATTGGCTCATTATTCCTTCAGTTTCTCTTTCATTGTGAAACTTCTTTTGATGTACCGTTTATATCTATTTGTACTGCTACAGCCAAGAGAATGAAAATGTATTTCTTGAAAAATAGTAGGGCCTACGTTCCTGAAAGCAAAGTAAAAGTGAGCGGGAGGTAAATAATGAAGATGGAATAGAATGGACAATTAATGTGGTGACTTTTTCAACATGAACCATCCTGTTGGCAAGTGTGACAATATTCAGCACGTTCATTTTTGTTTTGCCCGTATTTGGGGTGGAAAAAATTAAGGATACGAAATTGACGAGAGCCTAAAGATGGGGAGAATAAATAGGGAAAACTTCCTCAAGGAATGGAACGAAAGAAGATGGGGAGAAATGAAAATGTTGGATGAAACAAGAGGAGATAGATGGAGAGGAGATGGGTATGAGATGGAACAGGGTCGGAGGGGAAGGAAAAGAAAATAAGCGGAGACTGTGGAAAGCAGGGGGAGGAAGAAGAGGCCGGAGGGAGGGGGAAATTGAGAATGTGGATTAAAACAAAACAGGAAGGATGACGATACAGAGGAGAACGGGATAACCATGTACAGACTGAAAAGAATACAAAATAAAAGTTGGAACTCAGAGAAGGGGGAAGGGGGTGGGATAAAACCATTCGAACAAGATAACAGGGAGAAATATGAAAATAAAAGGGGATGTTAGGGGAGAAAAGAGGATGAGGGATAAAACAAAAAGAAAGAGTATTAGAAGACAAGAAATTGAATTGCAGAAGAGGGAGGATAATGTGATACGAATTATGACAGGGGAGTGGAAGACAAAGGTGAAAAATGGGACGAAAGAAGAGGGCCTGAGAAAACACGAGGTTAAGAAATAAAGAGAGAGAGAGAGAGAGAGAGAGTTCAGATATGTTGTCAGACTTGAAAATACGATGGCTGTTTTTTTTTTTTATCCTTGTCGACAAATATGAAAGTGCGAGGTTCATGCATCTTTCTTTCTCCCTCCTTCTCCTTAGAAACATTTGGGCCAAACTGCCACAAACTTGGTCCAACATACCCCATAGCAACGCACCTGAAGAAATCCTCTTTTCAATTTTGATACCCTATCAGAGAATGAATGACATTAGGATATTGTCTGATACATGTGTGTATATATGTATTTTTGAATTTATTTTGTTTATATGTTTACTTATTTATTTGTTAATGACAGCCCTATTTGCATACCGAATTGCTGTGTCTTTACATTAATTGCTATAACTAATACCCTCATTATCCCCATCACATTTAACGACTTAAAGTGGTTTATCATCATCATCATCATCATCACTATCATCATCATCATCATCATCATCATCATTACCACCACCACCACCACCACCACCACCACCACCAACATCATCATCATCATCAGCATCATCTTCTTCATCATCATCATCATCATCATCATCATCATTACCACCACCACCACCACCATCATCATCAGCATCATCTTCTTCTTCATCATCATCATCATCATCATCATCATCATCACCACCACCACCATCATCATCATCATCATCATCACCACCACCATCAATACCACCAGCACTATCACAGGTTTCTCACAATAAGAATAACTATGAGGGACAAAGATGATCATCTTAAATAAGTGAAACTGTTATGCAATTACTTCATTATCATATTATATTCTTTATTTATTTGCAAAACATGCACAAGAACAAATCATCTTTATTCACATTTACAGGATGCCAGTATGATACAAAATACTGGCTAAGGAGGGAGAGAGGGGGAGGAAAGAAAGAAAGGGATGGGTAAATAAATTCACTAGTATCCAAATCATCCTCATTCATAACTTAAAACAATATTAAAGAACATCAGAATAACAAGTTAAGGGTTTAATTCACACTGAACAAGAGGATACATAGTTTTTAAAAAGATCAACATGAATTAAAAGGCACTCATAAATACAACTAAAACATACTTTGAAAAACTCAATATCAGTGTCAATGTGGCTTGTAAAACACTGCCAAACTGCAATTCTTTCTTGTAATCATCACAATCAGATACGAATCTACTCCACAATAGATAGATACAGAACAGTTTATATTGTTCTGATTATATTGCCTAACCCTACATCATCTGTTTAATAATCTAACAATATTTTTTATGAACCAAAGCCACTCCATGTTTGTGTCTGTCAAATGAAAATGAAGATTTCCTTTTCTTTTTGTCCCGTAAAATGTTAAATCTTCCTTCAAGTGAAATCATCATGTTCACGTAAACATTGAGAATAGTCAATTAAAATGATCTGTACAGCACTATTTACAAAAGTATCTTCGCAAAAGACAAATGTTTTGTGGCAGCATGTACGCGTCATCCGTATCGACATACCGACTATAATTCTCTCTAGAGTTGTGGAAATGACTATCCTTTTAGTTTAATACATGTACATTCAGATGAAAGAAGATTTCATACCATATGTATCCATTATGAATCTGCCTGAATCATTCAACAACAAAATACAAAAACAAAAAAGAAACAATCTGCTATCTATCTGGATAGCAGGTACAAACAAAACAAAACAATTGCAGGAGTTGCAAGGGTTCAAATAGTCCCTCCAAAAAGTCCCTTCAAAAAGCATTTAAAAATTGATTTTTGAAATTTCAGCCCAAAAGTTGTTTAACGGTTAAAATATAAATAACAACAAAATCATTGGTTTGTATTTTAAGAATCCTCCTTAAAGTACCATTGATTAAAAAAACATAAGAGTGTTTGCAAAAATATCAGATAGATTAAACTCCTGATAGTGTGAGATATATGGCTACAAGATGTGCCATTTTAAACCATAAATTGTGGACAAGTTAGAGATTAATCGAGATTAACCGTCATACCTGCTTTGACGTAAAATACTACGCAACAAAAAATACTAATGTTTACTTTGACCAGGAAGTATACTAACCCTCTCTATACTGTTGAGATGATCATTATTAATCACATCGTTTAGTTTTGATTTGCATTTTTTGCATAGAATATATGCTGTGTCAAATAACAACTATCTTATTCACTTATGCTCTTTAATGGATGCAGCAAAACAAATAGCAAAAGCAGAAACAAGTAACAAATTGGGCAGCAAACTAAAAGTATAAACTAACAAACTTAAATGGAATGCATGAAGGAAAAAGTATCATCCAAAATGAATGAATGAGTGAATGGTTACTGGTAAACAAGCAAACTCTCTATTTCTGCAACTTTGTAATACTACCATCCATATCGTGCTTATTTCCACTGATAAATGTATCAAAGAGTCAAACTTTGTTGTTGATGTCAAAAGATCTTAGGCTCCTTGAAAAACTTGGAGATGAAAAAGAGTAAAGTATCGATAAGTCTAACAATTTAAGATGTTCCACTGCCTAGCACCAATGCATTGTTACACAATGCCACAACAATAAATTAATTTAAAACACACAAAAATGATACAAAAGGTTTAGTAGGAAACATGATACAAAAGTACAAAAATCCAGAACATTGCACGTAGCTTCTCTTTCTATTCAGTCTAGTCACTGCAGCAACAGAGAGAAATAAGAATATCATTTTAAACAAAACATCATGAGACACGTAGCTTTTAAAAAGCTGACAATTTGCTTGCATTGTCACAATAAAAAAA